GGGGAGAAGGGGGAGAGGGGAGAAGGGGGAGAGGGGAGAAGGGGGAGAGGGGACGGGGGAGGACAGAGCGGGGAATGGGGAGAGGCCAGAGCACAGACTGTCTCAGCCTGGCTAAGTCTTGGACAACCACGAGCCAGTGGGTGTTTTCTCAGGCCAGAAGCAGCAAGATCACACCTGTGCTCTGGAAAGCTAGTCCTGACAGGAGACAGAGGCCAGATCAGACCAGCAAGATGGAGACCAACTGGGAATGGTTGGAATAACCCAGGGAAGAGAATGTGCACCAAGCCAGGGATGCACACAGGATTTAGACCACCGCTGCTGAAGGTCTGGCTCAGCCATTTACTGTGTGACCTCAGGTATGTCCCCTGACCACTGTGAGCCTCAGTTTCCTCATTTCTAGAAACAGTACCTCCCAGAAGGGCTGTTGTGAGCATGAAGAGAATGAACGCAGGCTTGTCTCATAACAAGTGCTTACCTGGCAAGAACTGCTATTATCCTCAACACTGCTATTATCATGAGAAAACAGATTTGAGGAAGATGATGGGGAGAGAACAGAGGGGACTTGAGACTGACTGGATGGGGGAGGGAAGAGTTTTCTGGTCAGCCTGGTAAGAATTGTGTCACAAAGATGGGGATGCAGCTGGGCATGGTGGTGTGCACCTATAGGCTGAGGCAGGAGGATCCCTTAAGCCCAGGAGGTTGAGGTTACAACGAGCTATGATCACACCACTGCACTGCAGTCTGGGTGACAGAGCGAGACCCCACGTTTTAAAATAAATAAAAGTATTAAAAATGTGGATGGAGACGCTGGTTTGGGGAGAGACAGTGAGGCCAGTGCTGGACATCTGAGTTCTGCAGAGACTGTTTGAGGCGGGGGAAAGGGTGTGCTCAAAAGCCAAGAGCCCTCCAAAACTGGCTTTGCCCTTCCTGTGAGACCGGAGGCAAGTTACTTAACACCTCTCCAAGCAAGTTTCCTCATCTGGAAAGCACAAACCCCACCATTTAGTTTACTAGAGAAGATCATGAAGATCAGAATTAACACAGACACAAAGTGCCAGCGTAGACACGGACACAGGAGGGAAGCCACAGCCACAGCTGTTAGATGCAGGAATCACAGAAGACAAGGCGGAAGCAAACCACAGAGTGGCCCCAGTCATGCACCAGAGTAAGGAGGAGAGTCCAGGGCAGTCGGGAAGCACCAAACACAGGGTGATGGGAGGCAGCACCGGACAAACCAGCAAACAGACACTGACAATAGAGAATCAAGTGCTGCAGGAGACTGAGGAGCTGGGGACAGTACACTTTTCAAGGAGAGAGAAGAGAACAGAGTTCAAAGCCACGAGAGGTCAGTCTGCTGAAATGAGGTCACTGGATAGATGGCAGTCAGGTGGGCCCTGGTAACCTGTCTGGGTGGTATGTAGCTTCCCCACAGCTCGTCCAGAGCTGAGGACATCATGAGTCCCTGGTGAGCTAAAGAGCCCGGCTGCTCCTCAGACAGGGACTTTTACCAGCCCACGGCTGATTTAAGAGCCCTCCTCATCCCTAGGGCTCGGCCCTGTTAAGCAACAACATTTGGTAGAAAAACACAAAGCAGGTGGAATGAGTCATCCAGGTTTTCTGTCTCTGCCACTGGACTAGATGAAGGACCCTCGGCAAGTCACCTCACCATCCTGAGCCCAACTCCTCACCTGTGTGGTGGGAACATAACACAGACCTCTTCTGAGCATCAGAGGCAATCTGAGGGCTGGGCCAGGTTCTGTAAACTATAAGGTTTCATGGAACCATTTTCGGCTCTTGCTACCACCACTGTCAGTCACATGGGACCAACACTGCTGCTGGAGGCACAGAGCTTCTGGATCTCTGCTTGCATTGGACCCAGAGCTCAAGCCTCCTCACTTCTTTGTCTGAGGCCCTCTAATTGTCCCCCTGCACTGTGTCTTCACACATGAAGCCACAGACCCACCATAGCAGCCAACCGCCTGACTAAACTCCCATAACCTGCAGGTGCCCAGAAGGTCTACAATAAGGTGGTAAGTTTGGCTTGGCGGGGAGGGAAGGTGTGAGGGCTTGTCCTGCCAGAACCTGCAACAGGGCCTTGGGAGGATCTATTTCTGTGGTTGTTTCCCTCCTTGTGAAATGAGTCCAAGTACAGTCACCTATTTTTTTCTTTTTCCTAGTTAGTTCCCGCAAGCAGACAAGTACAGTGTCTTTTCCAGGAAGCATTAGGAAAGAGAAGATGGAAGGAGGAAAAAGAAGAGTCAAAGACCTAAGGCTAGGAGGCCAAGCTGAGGATGGTTAGTCCAGGAGTACCTGGTCAGTGACGTCATACACCACGATGATGCCATGAGCCCCCCGGTAGTAGCTGGAAGTGATGGTCCGGAACCGTTCCTGGCCCGCTGTGTCCCACTAGGAGACAGTAGGCAGAGGAGGAGGTCAGCTGGGGTCCAGATTCCCAGAGTCCCTTTCCTCCCAAGGCGGACACCTCTGTACCAGGGATTTTGGGAATAGCGACACTCACGATCTGAAGTTTGATAGTTTTGCCATCCAGCTCGATGGTTCGGATCTTGAAGTCCACCCCGATGGTGCTGATGTAGCTCTCTGTGTACGTGTCATCCTGGAAGTTCAGGGGCCAGTGAAATGATGGGAGTAAATGAGGTGAGGCCCACTTGGAAAGCCTCCCTCCAGCTTCCAGCCCCAGCGGGGTCTCCTAATCACCAAGCCCCAATTCCCAGCACCCAGCTGGCCAGCCCTGTGTCTTGTTCAGGGCAGATGTGCTGCTGGCAGGTCTTACAGCTTCACCCCTGGTTCCCAGATCTTGTGACTACTGTGCTCTGGGTGGTCCCTTCCCCCCCAGCTGCCAGTCAGGACCCCGGGTAGATGGTATGGGAGGCTTCTTACTCACAGCAAACCGCAGGAGCAGGCATGACTTGCCCACGCCTGAGTCGCCAATCAAAAGCAGCTTAAACAGGTAGTCACTGGAGAGAGAGGATGGGAAGGCGTGAAGGGAGGCAGGGAGCCCACCTACCATCATCCTGGAGTCACAATTAGAGGATTCCCCCACCCTACGAGACATCCCTTGGTTTATTTTTATTTTTTTTAGCAATAAGGTCTCACTCTGTCACCCAGGCTGCAGTGCACTGAAGTGGTCACGGCTCACTGCAGCTTCTACCTCGCAGGCTCAAAGTGATCTTCCCACCTCAGTCTCCCGAGTAGCTGGGACTTCAGGTGTCCACCACCACTTCTAACTAATCTTTTTTTTTTTTTTTTTTTTTTTGAGACGGAGTTTCGCTCTTGTTGCCCAGGCTGGAGTGCAATGGCGTGATCTTGGCTCACTGCAACCTCCGCCTGCCAGGTTCAAGCAATTCTCCTGTCTCGGCCTCCCAAGTAGCTGGGATTACAGGCACCTGCCACCATGCCTGGCTAAGTTTTGTATTTTTAGTAGAGACAGGGTTTCACCATGTTGGCCAGGCTCGTCTCAAACTCCTGACCTCAGGTGATCCACCTGCCTCGGCCTCCCAAAGTGCTGGGATTACACGTGTGAGCCACCACACCCGGCCCCTGGCTACTCTTTTTATGTTTTGTAGAGACGGGGTCTCACTATGTTGCCCAGGCTGGTCTCAAAACTCCTGAGTTCAATCGATTCACCTGCCTTGGCCTCTAAAAGTGCTGGGATTACAGGGGTGAGCCTGGTCATCCTTTGGTTTAGAATACTATGGTGCTCACCAGATCTTCCCACCAGTCCCGGTCAGGGAGGGCTGATGCCCCCCTCCAGAAAAAGCTAGCCCAAAGGGCTCTCAGCTTGCTGAGTCTAAATTCTCACTTTATGGAGAAAGAAATCAAGACACAGAGAGGGACGTGACCTGCCAAGGCGACAGAGCTAGGTATCCTACCCTGATTTCTGAAACTTCATGGTTTGGTACAGTAGGGGCTATTTAGGGAATCCCCAGTACATGACCTGTGGTATGCCTGGCTTGGCAGAGGAGGCCCCAGAAGTAGAACCCAGGGCACAGTCTACAACTTGTTAAGTGAAAAACCCATGTAAAGAGACTGATGGCCGGGTGCTGTGGGGTGTGCCTGTGGTCCCAGCTACTGGGGAGGGTGAAGCAGGAGGAGGATCCCTGGAGCCCAGGAGTACATGACCAGCCTGGGTGATGTAGCACGACCCTGTCTCTCTCTCTTTTTTTTGAGATGGAGTCTCACCCTGTCACCAGGCTGGAGTGCAGTGGCACGATCTCGGCTCACTGCAACCTCCAACTCCCGGGTTCAAGTGATTCTCCCGCCTCAGCCTCCAGAGTAGCTGGGATTACAGGCACGTGCCACCACACTTGGCTAATTTTTGTATTTTTAGTAGAGATGGGGTTTCATCATGTTGGCCAGGATGGTCTCGATCTTCTGACCTCGTGATCCACCCGCCTCAGCCTCCCAAAGTGCTGGGATTACAGGCGTAAGCCACCGCGCCCAGTCCACCCCATCTCTTTGGAAACAACAACAAAAAACCTGTTATGAAGTCACCAGGAAGAGGTGGTCAAGTTGCAATGAAAATTGCACTTAAGGCTGGGTGCAGTAGCTGACACCTGTAATCCCCAAATTTTGGGAGCCCGAGGCACAAGGATCATTTGAGCCCAAGAATTTGAGAGCAGGCTGGGAAACAGATGGAGACCCTGTCTTTACAAAAAATTAAAAAATGTGCCAGATGTGGTGGTGTACCTCTGTATTCCCAGCTACTCAGGAGGACAAGGCAGGAGGAATGCTTGAGCCCAAGAGTTGGAGACTGCAGTGAGCCATGATCGTGCCACTGTACTCCAGCCTGGGTGACAGAGAGAGACCCTGTCTCAAAAAAAAAAAAAAAAAAAAAGGTAAAAAGTAATCACATTTAATAATATTGAGTTCCAACTTGTGACTGTGTGAAGTCACACAGTTGAGTTCCCTGTGTGAAGTACTTTAAATGCATCATCTCATTTAATCTTCACAACAGTCCAATGAAGTCAGTTTTATCATTATCAACTAATGAGGAAACCAGAGGCCAGAGAAGGGAAGTGACTTGCCCTAACTTACACAGTTTTTCGCTTTAAGACTCAAACCAGGTTTGTCAGACTCCAAAGTCCCTGCGAGAGCCTGCTGGTTCCCTTCTCTGTTCCCCTCCCAATCCAGCTCAGAGCTTCACCCTTCCCCAAGGAAATCTGAGACCTGGATGTGGAGGAGAAAAAGGAAGTGGCAGAAGAGGAAGAAGATAACTGATACTTGGGGAAAACTATTAGTCCTGGGCATGAGATGTGGGCCACCTACCCGCAGAGGGAGTGACCAAGAGTGAGGAGAGTTTGAGGACCAGAGAATCCCGCTGGAAGGGGGAGAGCAAATTCCATATTCATCTAAACTTCACAAGCAGTGTGACAGCCAAGGGAAGGGGTGCGACGGTGGCGTTGGGGGCCTGAGCAAAAGCGAGGAGAGGGCGGGAAAGGACGGACCGTCGGGAGCTACAGGTCAGCGTAACCCAGGCAAAGGGTAGGAGGCAGCCCCGGAAGAGAGGACCTGCGGGAGACGCGACTCAAGCGGCGCTTCGGGGCCTCCCGCTTAGTTGGCCAGTTTCTGGGCCGGCCCCAGGAGCCGGGCTTCAGGAGAAAGAGAAGGGTAGAGGGATTCACTGCCCGACCTAAAGGGCCCGAGCCTGAACCCGAGACCAGAAACTATCTAAAGACGGGCTCCCAAACTCCAGGACAGTTGTCAAGCAGCAGGTGGGGAAACTGAGGCCTGAAGTGACCGGGACTGCGGGGTCATCTGACCGATAAGGCCTGGTAGGGCCGGTGTCTCGGGCTCCAAGAGCTGCCCCTCGGGGTCGCCACGTCTGGGCCCCGGGTGTGAGAGCTCGGGGTGTTGAGCCGGGGTCCTGGGGCCCCTGGGGGGAGGGGCAGAACCCGGATGTGGGAGGGGGGGGTCAGCGGAAGAGGGACCCGGATGTGGGGGCGCCGCACAGTCCTGACCCGGGCCAGACAACCCCGGTAAGCGTACAGCCCCGTATGCGGGATCGAGGCTGCGCTGGACGGCGCGGGCGGGGCTCACTCACTATTCGGGGTTCATGGCGGC